AACTCTTGGCATTGAAGCGTGCAAGTCTTAAAGCTGTCAAGTTACAAGACCCTTGCACACCTAACCCTTTAGGGGAAAAAACCCCAGGGGTGTTCAAACTTGACAGCTTTAAGACTTGTGGATTTCAACTCCCAGAATTCCTCCTCTCGCTCTTCATCTTGATGATGTGCAGGCGGGCTGGGGGAGGGAACTGGAACCTGTTCTAAACGGCACTGTAGGTTTGTGGAACCTCTTCTATGGAAGAGGTTAGAACTGGCAGGAACCCACCCCTGTGCCACGCCCACCAAGCCATGCCCACAGAACTGCACTGGTTTAAATGATGAAGTCAACTGTGATCCATAACACTTGGTATAACAAATGTTTTAATCGTGAAGGTACCACAAGGTTCCTCTTTATATTTATTTGGCAATCAGATGCTTACTTGGTGATGCCCTCCTGCCCTTCATTGCCTTATATCCGCTTTCTGATCAGAAGAGAATTCAAGAGTAATGGAAGTCACTTTCTACTACAAACACCTTAACAACTGTAGTTGGCAAGGTGGTCTTATTTCATCTGAATTTGCCTGAAACCATGAAGTTGTCTATCAGCCATAAGTGATATCTTTAAGATGCTTAAGTCATTTCATCTTTCTTGAGAATTCACATCAAAATTAGGAAATGTATTTTATACTGAAGTCCCACAAAAAAGGGGAAAATATCCTATTTCCTATGATCTTTATTTCTCTTAAAAATTCTCTTACACAAAGTTATAGAATACTCCTAAGGTCTTCATAATTTGAGGTTTTAATTGACTGCTTATTAATTGTGCCTTCTTTTCAAAGCAGCATGTCTTGACTTTCATTTAAAAGTGTAAAGGTTTCAGAAATGTTAAATATGTAATTGAAAGGCAGAAGTTTCTCTCAGTCTCTTGATTGATTCAAATGTTATTATTAATTCTGTTAGCTGCTGAGCTTCTAAATTATTTATTTATACCTGAAATTAATGTGTATTGATGTGACTTGAATAGGCCCAAACAGGGCCAAAATCCTGTCTCCAAGGAGTATACAATTTGCTAAGATTACACAATTATATTTGGGTATCTTTCATTGAAATATTGCCAAGAAAAAAAATTCAACTCACTCATTTGAATACTTGTATTAGACTACTCTGGGGCCATAAACTAAATTGAAAAGTTGAAAAATCACCTCAGAAGACGGTAATGGGGAACCATGTCTGTATTATTGCTAAGTAAACCACAGTTTTGTAGTAAAAAAAAAACCTAGGGTTTTGCT